TGATTAATGAAAAGTTATCTTAGGACATGAAAAGTTATACGTAATTGTAAAAATAAAAACTGCAAAACACAAAATGTGAAACTGCAAATTTGCACGTATCTCTGCACAGACCCAACAAACCTTCATGCCACATTTGTTGAAGATCCATCAACAGAGGGTGAAGTAGTGGTAAAAAACCACAAAAATGGCCATAAAAACTACAAAACTCAAAATTTGTATGTATCTCCCCGTGGATCAGGGGAATAAACACTGCAGGATATCTTAAAACCTGCTCTCAAAAATCTTTATAAGTAGAAACATAAGAAAAGTATATTTAATGAGCTATACTGATGGCTAGGCCATTTACTAAGTACATAGCTCACCCTGATCTGTAGTTATTATTTAATACATCCAGCTAAGAGACTCACCCGCTTGGACTTCGGAAAAATAAACCCTTCTCTCCTATCACTTCCAGCTAAATCAAATGCCAATTGTTGCATAGATGCAGAACTTTGAAAGTGATCCAAGGATCCTTCATCAGGAGACAGTATCTCTGAACTTCCACTGTTAGTACGTGTTCTTCTTCTGCTTGCTGATCCTGAAGCTCTGCGTTTTTTTCTATATCAAAAAACAAGCAAACCACTGTAAATCTAATCTAATTAATTTTGTGAAAGTTATACGTACTTTTCTTGTTTCATAATGACCAGTTTCACTTGCAAGTAATACCATAATAAACATTCTGCTATAAGACAGACAGCACATTGGGGTAACATACCAAACAGTATGATGTATGGATGGCAAAGTCAAAACAAGATCTGAATGAATACATAAAACCATACAAAAATTCCTACTTAAATAACCAGTAAGTAGTGAGTCATCTTCTAGTTACTTGCCACTGTAAGACTGTATAGCACTGTTCAGTTAAAATACTTTTATTTAAACCTGAATTCATGAAAGTGACAGGAATTCAACATTTAGTTGTGGATAAAAATTATATTTGGAAAGAGTTGGCTACTTCTTGGGACTTAATGTTGATGAACCAACAGTAAGAAAAAAATATATTAAAAATGTATAGCTGTACCATCCCTATATTCATTTATAGCTGTACCGTCCCTACATTCATTTATAGCTGTACGTCCCTACATTCAGTACAGCTCTACATGAATATAGGGACAATACAGCTATACATGAATGTAGGGACGGTACAGCTATACATGAATATAGGGACAATACAGCTATACATGAATGTAGGGACGATACAGCTATATGTGAATGTAGGGATGGTACAGCTATACATGAATGTAGGGACGTACAGCTATAAATGAATGTAGGGACGTACAGCTATAATGGTACAGCTATACATGAATGTAGGGATGGTACAGCTATACATGAATGTAGGGACGGTACAGCTATACATGAATATAGGGACGGTACAGCTCTACATGAATATAGGGACGGTACAGCTATACATGAATATAGGGACGATACAGCTATACATGAATGTAGGGATGGTACAGCTATACATGAATGTAGGGCCGTCCCTATATTCATGTAGAGCTGTACCGTCCCTATATTCATGTATAGCTGTACCGTCCCTACATTCACATATAGCTGTATCGTCCCTACATTCATGTATAGCTGTACCGTCCCTATATTCATGTATAGCTGTACCACCCCTATATTCATGTATAGCTGTATCGTCCCTATATTGAAGTATAGCTGTATCGTCCCTATAATCATGTATAGCTGTATTGTCCCTATATTCATGCATAGCTGTATCATACTTCACTTTGTTTGTTATATTACTCAATAAACTCAAGACTTAACATCCTAATCTATAACAACATTTCCTGTCACTTAGGTTGGTATGATTGAAATTTTTACCCTCTTTTATGATATGGTGTGTGTTGAGAAGATTGGCTTTGACTTGGCAGTTTTCCTTCTTCACTAGACATCAAGTCTCCATTCAACTGGGTCTTCTTGGTACTTTCCCCCTCTAAAGTATTTCCATCCTCTTCACTCTTCTGGAGTTTTTCTTCTTCTACCAGCTGGACACCATCATGACCTGTTTGATGTTTCTGTACTTTTTGTTGAGATATTTTTTCCCGTGCCTGCTGTTTTTTCTTTTCAGACTTCTCCATTTGTTCAAAAGCTCTCATAATAGCTTCGAGTTTACGTTCCTCTCGAGTCTGCAAAATAAATACAGCTAGTTCACGGACATTGGTTTAATACAACAAATACAGCTAGTTCACGGACATTGGTTTAATACAACAAATACAGCTACTTCATGGACATTGGTTTAATATAACAAATACAGCTACTTCATAGACATTGGTTTAATATAACGAATACATCTACTTCATAGACATTGGTTTAATACAACGAATACAGCTACTTCATGGACATTGGTTTAATACAACAAATACAGCTACTTCATGGACATTGGTTTAATACAACAAATACAGCTACTTCATAGACATTGGTTTAATACAACAAATACAGCTACTTCACAGACATTGGTTTAATATAACAAATACAGCTACTTCATAGACATTGGTTTAATACAACAAATACAGCTACTTCATGGACATTGGTTTAATACAACTAACTAAAATAAATTATGTTTCTATGGTATCTTCATATCAACTGTCATGAATCAAACTCAAGGTGTAAATAAATAATAAATGTGCCATTCTCCTTTAACTATACAATTATTAGTGTAACAACCACATCAACATGTCAATACACATATATAGAATCTTACTTCAACCCTGTGATTATAAGTTTCTACACCCACATCAACATGTCAATACACTTATAG